TTCTGTTTCTGGGCCGATATGAAACACATTTTGCAGAACGATGTAGTTTTCTGTTTCCGGGCCAGTATGATACACGTTTTGCAGAACGATGTAGGTTTCTGTTTCCGGGCCAATATGAAACACGTTTTGCAGAACGATGTAGTTTTCTGTTTCCGGGCCAATATGAAACACGTTTTGCAGAACAATGTAGGTTTCTGTTTCTTGACCAATATGAAACACGTTTTGCTGGACGATGCAGTTTTCTGTTTCCGGACCAATATGAAAGACGTTTTGCAGAACAATCTAGTTTTCTGTTTCCGGACCAATATGAAACACGTTTTGCAGAACAATGTAGTTTTCTATTTCCGGACCAATATGAAACACGTTTTGCAGAACAATGTAGTTTTCTGTTTCCGGACCAATATGATACACGTTTTGCAGAACGATGTAGGTTTCTGTTTCTGGGCCGATATGAAGCAAATTTTGCAGAACGATGTAGTTTTCTGTTTCTGGACCAATATGAAACACGTTTTGCAGAACAATGTAGTTTTCTGTTTACGGGCCAATGTAAAACAAGTTTTGCAGAACGATGTAGTTTTCTGTTTCCTGGCCAATATGAAACACGTTTGGAGAACAATGTAGTTTTCTGTTTACGGGCAAATATGAAACACGTTTTGCAGAACGATGTAGGTTTCTGTTTCCTGACCAATATGATACACGTTTTGCAGAACGATGTAGTTTTCTGTTTCCGGGCCAATATGATACACGTTTTGCAGAACGATGTAGGTTTCTGTTTCTGGGCCGATATGAAACACAATTTGCAGAACGATGTAGTTTTCTGTTTCTGGGCCGATATGAAGCACATTTTGCAGAACGATGTAGTTTTCTGTTTCTGGGCCAATATGATAACACGTTTTGCAGAACAATGTAGGTTTCTGTTTCCGGGCCAATATGAAGCACGTTTTGCAGAACGATGTAGGTTTCTGTTTCTGGACCAATATGAAACACGTTTTCAAGAACAATTGGGGGCTTGCATTTCACAACTGATAATAAACACTTTTCCGTGTGGAAAGCAATGAGACAACAGTTTGTAATGAACACATTTTCAAGAACAATGGGTACTTCTTGGTTTTCCTGAGCAGTACGAAACCTTTTCCAGAACAATGGAGGTTCCAGTTCCTAAACAACTTATACGAAACACGTTTTCCAGAGCAATGCAGTACGAAACACTTTTTTTTCAGAATGTGGAGCTCGGTTAAATATACTATCTTGGGGCTTATTTTTCACTGCAGTATGGATCTATGTTTCAAGTGTAGCAAACAAAATTATGAAGGACTGAAAGCGTCAAAGTTAATAAATCGCCTTCTAGAATTGCGTGTCAAATTATTAAAATCAATATATAGAAATGTTTAAAGTTTTCCGAAATAACTAATCTCCTTTTTCAATGTACAATCGTTTAAAAGCTTTATTTAAATGGAATTGTCTGGTTTTTAAATCTTTCATCAATCAAGGGCTGTTCTCCTTGTCACTCGGCGAGTAATTTTCAAAGTTCTGATAATTTGGTCAAGATTGTTTTAGACATTGATTTAGATGGCCATACGTGCAAATACACGCATTTTACATCTTTGCTTTTGATAAAGAAAAATACATTAAGATATTGAGATGGCAGTATTTTGTTAAGGTCAATCAAAGTGGTCGATGATGGCGTTATACATTCAAAAAGTAATTGAAACAAATATTTCACCGAAACATATGTTCAGATAATCAATAATTATTTGAAATTTGTAAACGTTTCATATTTCAAGAATTTTAAATTTTATTCATTAATGCATCATATCTGTTGCATGCATCCTGAGTATGAAATGCAAAGCAACCAAAAAATTATTAGGAGTGTGTGCTGAAAACGGATTAAAGAGTTTAAAAAGTAAAAATATTCAGAACCTTGGAAGCGTATAAGCGGAACAGTCTAAAATAAATTCAACATCTACACAGATGACACTTATATTTTGGTACATGGTATTATAATCTACTGATGAGAAGGTATCATCTAGTATCGACTTGTATTTTCTCCAGTAATCAAGAATAGTTCGGGGTCTGTTTTATATAACCTCTGGCGTAATCAATAATAACCACCGTCCTCATCATCATCATCACCATCACCATTCAAGGTCTAATCAAATACGTTTGAGCAAGAGTAGACTAACGCTTAGTCTCCGAATATATAGTAACAAACAAACCCATTTAAATAGAAAAGGAGCCCCAGGGAAACGAGAGATTCAGAACCTGAGGAAATCTAGACTTGCTTCATTTAGGGCTTTAGCATTGCAGAGAGGGCTAGGCAGTAAGGCAAATAATGTGGTTCAGGGACTGTGAGACAGACATACAGAGTAAGAGTTGCATGCGGCTTCCTGATTGATATATTTGCAGAATGAACATCATACCACAAACGTTGTACATGTTAGATACAAAAGCCCCTGTATCTAAGAGGTCTCTTATATTTCTAGTTCGAGTGGACGAACAGAGAAGGAAATGCTGATTTTGTTGAAACTCAGCATAGGTTCAATCAGCTTAAGTTAAACGCCTTGGCCAAATTCACATGTTTTGTTTCTGCTCAAACTTTGATCAAAAGAAACACATCAGCAAGGCAACTATTGGAAGGATGAAGGCATTCCTCAAGTCATAAAATGTTGTACAAAGTGTTTTGTCTCTCTTGTTCAGAAACGAAAAGAAACCGACGAGGCGGGTTCACTGTTCTCTTACAATTCTAGTTCGTGTGGATGAACAGATATGGAAATCGACTACTTGACATTCTTAAACGATATCCGATCACCAGTATATGTTCATCTTCAGTTAAACGCCTTGGTCAAATACACGTGTTTTGGGTTTTTTTAATCACTTTATTTCTTTTTGATCTGGGTACAGTATATCATGCACATTTAATAAGTCAGCATTTTTGTTGCTTTATATAGGAGTCAAATTACAAAGTCATTATCTATGTAAATTGATTGTGGCAAGACGACCAAAATGTAACAAAAGTGTCGTATTTGCAGTGAGAGTATGCATTAAATTTGTGTAAGTGGTAATTTTAATTCAATTTTGGTTTCAGACTAGCGAGAGAAGGTACAATGGTTGCCAACTTTCTAGAATATATGTACTCTTTAGTTAGTATGAAAATAAAATTCAGTTCATCATTTCTTCTCTCTTTGAATCCGAGAATAATGGTTTCTGCGTTTAATTTCAAATGGGTGTCTGTTTCATTTTCAATCCATTCTAGTAGATCTTGCCACAGCTTTTTGACATGTTTGCATTCATATAATAAAAGAATGATAGATTCTATTTCAACATCGCAAAATGTACATAGTGGTGATTCTATTAGTTTGTATTTATATAAATCTTTATTGGTTGTAAGGATCCCAGGAGAATAAGGTTTTGAAGCAATCTGTGCCTAGCACTATATGATGCTCGAAATGGTATAAAATTATGTGTCTTCCATAGATTAAGAGTGATATTTGTGTTCAATTCTTTTTCCCACTTACTTTGATAAAGCAGTTTTTGGTTTATAGCTTCCTTGTGAAGAAGCTTGTTGTAAAATATGCTACATCGTTTCTTAGCTTTGAGTAGTATTTCCAAATAAGGAAGAAAAAAAAGGTAAATCTTTCTGAATATTAATTTTGAACGAACTCTTTTTTGAATATGTTTTCAATGAAGATAATAATCCTGTATATTCAAGGAAATTTGTTTTAACCCCATACTGTTCTACGAATTTTTATAAGAAAGGAATGTATGGTCATCTTTTAAGAAATCATTTATAAATTTTATATTTGACTGTAGGTAGTGGTCATATACTACTGGTTTTCTCCCTATTGTTATCTTATCATTTGCCCATATGTACTGTCTGCTGAGATGGTCATTATCATATTTACTTTGTCCTTGTAATTCAGACCAGGCTTCAAATACGTCTTTCTAGAATGGGCTTATGAGTTTTGGAATATAATGTGTCTTCAGATACAATGGTCCCATTTCTATGGGGTTTAGTTTGCTCACTGGTTGTGAAGTATATGAAAGATTATTTAATTTTGAGTCATGTGCGAATAATCTTCTGATCCATGATATTTTCTGGGACTTAATTGTTTCAAGTATAGCTGGTACTTTTGGACCACCTTTTTGGTATGCTTTTGTTATCAGACATCGTTTTATTCTATCAGGTTTACCTTTCCAAATAAAGGAGAAACATTTCTTTTGAAGGTTCACTATCGTTTCTAATTTAGGGTTTGCTAATTAGATGATTAAGTGTCAGAGTCCACATTTTCATTACTTTGTCAATTGTTTTTATTTTATCTTTATAATTCTTTTCCACCATTTCTGCTTTATTATGTTGAAATAGAAAGCCTAAGAGTACAAATAGCTTTTGAGTCCAGTCAAGGTTGTATTCTCTGCAGTATTGCAAACTTGAATATTGTTTCGAACCTATCCAAATAACATTAGTTTTGTCAATATATATTTTAAGCCCAGAGAAGGATGCGTATGTTTCAAGTACTTGTAATGTTTCCCGAAATGAGGGCTCAGACCCGTCTAAAATTATAGTTGTATGTTGTATCATCGGCAAATTGCGTTAGTAGGTATTCTAAATCAATCATCATTATTCCTTTTATGTTTTTGTTTTGTCGTAACATGTGGGCCAGGATTTCTGTTACTATGAGGAATATATACGGCGAGAGGGGATCACCTTGTCTACAACCCCGTGTAATTTGAAAGAATTATTATATTAGGAAGTATGTTTTTAATACGCGCTGATATCAAGGCTGAGGCTAGTTTATATGATATGTTTAATAGTGAAATGGGTCTGAAATTCTTCAGATGTTCGTTAGATTTATCTCTTTTGGGGATACATGTTATGAGCCTTTGTTTTTGACTTATAGATAGCTCACCCTTCCTATATGCTTCATTTAATGAATTGGTTAGGTATTTATTCATGTCTTTCCAAAATAGTTTATAGAATTCAGCTGTAAAACTAGAAGGACAAGGGCTTTTTTCATTTTTCATATTTTTCAATGCTGAAAGCACTTCATCGTATTGTATTTCGCCTTCAAGAGAATGGGCGTCGTTGTCAGATAATCTAGGTATTTCACTATCTTTGAATAAGAATTCTAGATCGACATCTTTGACATGTTTACTGGTATGTAAAGTTTCAAAATATGTCTTTGCATGGTTGATAATATCCTTTGTTTCGCTTATTTGTCCGTCATCAGTTTCTAGCTTGGTTATTGCTTTGTTTAAGAAATTCTGTTTTTCCAGAGATAGGAAGAATTTTGTTGGTTTTTCTCCTTTTTCATACCATTTTGCTTTTCATCTCAATATAATCCCTTCTGTTATGAATCTGTCTAATTTTACTTCAAGACTTTCAAGTGTTTCATTGTATTCTTCTTCTAATTTTAGTCTTTCTTTCTTTTTCTGGGATGAATATTTTAATGTGTGGCCTCGAATATTGCACATGAGTACTTCAAAAAACAATTGTTCATTTATCTTTAGTACTTTATCTCCATCTTCGTCTCGAGTGTGATATTGATCTACAGTCTCGTTAATAATACCTTGGATTTCTCGCACATATTCGGGATCATGTAACAAACAGTTGTTAAATTTCCAAAAACCCTTTCCTTTCTCAAGAGATGTAAATTCAATATGTCACGATATTACTGAGTGATCTGATCTGTAACTATGTTCTATTTTAGAGCTAATGATAGATTTTTCCATATTTCTACTGATTAACGAGGAAGGCATCTTAACGTGCTTGTTTCAAGGGTTTGGGTTTTCTCCAAGTATATCTTTTTACATCTAAATTTAATTCCCGCCAGGGATCATAAAGGTTAAGTTCATCCATCATATCAAGTACAGCTTCTTTTGAATTGGGATTATTTATATGTAAATAATTGAAGGTATCTTTTTATTAATCTTTTGACTAGATTAAAGTCACCACATATAATATTAGTTTCAGTTTCTAGACTTAGTATTTTATTTTTAATTGCCTGATAAAAGTTGGGCGTATCTACATTTGGACCATAAACATTTGTAATGCTTAATATCTCTTTCTCTGTTTTTATTTTAAGTATCAAAAAGTTGCCACTATCACTGTCTTTTATTTCTTTGAGAATTTCAAATTCAAAGTTATCTCTAAGTAAGATAGCTACTCCTCTCGACTACTTGTCGACATTCTTAAACGATATCCGATCACCAGTATATGTTCATCTTCAGTTAAACGCCTTGGTCAAATGCACGTGTTTTATTTTTGCTCAAACTCTGACCCTTTAATAAAGAAGTACACCCATGGATGCGAGCACAGTTGGTGCCCACTTCGTACATAGTTGTCCTATCCCCCAAACTCGACACGGATGTTATCTAGGAGGCCCAGCATTTCATATATTGTTTGCTTAGTGAACATTCAATGGTATTTGCCTTCATTGGTCAAAAATTGTCCCGAACTCTTGAAGATGTAGATACAACTATATCTATATATTTGTGCTCCATCGCTGTGGAAAGAACTGCCGCTCGCCTTAAAACTGTCTCCATATTTTGTTCCTTTCGGATCTTAAAACACCTCTCTTTTCACTGCACTATCAATTCTACTCAAACATTAATATTTTGTAGCACTTTGACCACCCACTTAGTGGTTGGATTTAGCGCTGTATAAATTTTCACTATTATTATCATTATTATTATTATGGAATAAAGTTTCCCCTTCGATTTGACGAGTTAAAAAGTAAGATTTTTACATGTTTGACATTTAATTGTTCATCAAGATTACCAAAAAATCACTTTTAAGATTCAACATTATATTAATTCAGTTTGGCTCTGATACCTTCTATAAACTTTACAGCTCACTTCCTTTTTCTTGAAGAAATGGGTTAATCTTTGTAACAGGGAGACGGTGCTGGTATTGCTTACCCATCAATATATCTATATTCCTTTTAATAGACCAAATCTGAAAACACCTACTGTTTACTATTACCTCATACACTAATAATGAAGGACATATTTCCTATTTAGCAGGTGGTTCCGTTTCATCTTTGCCCCCTCAAACTGTAGAGTACAGTCTGTGTTTGGTCTGTACATGCTCAGGGCACTCATTGGTCGATGACGCGTCGAAACCACGTTTACTAACGAGATACTTCGAGATCTCAGTTGTGACGTCAAGTAGCGACAGACCACGAACTAGTTTTCAATTAGCCGCATTGTGCTAAAATAAGCAGGATCAATAAGGTTCGGTAAAAATCTTCAGGGAATCATTCAATATGCGATAATTTAATTAAATCCGTTCGTTTCCTTGCCTAGACAAAAGTTGTGAGATATCGAAACAGTTTAACTTAATTAACCAAAACAGTTCTTTCGACTGGTACACCTACAGAGGCATAAACTATGTTTTCATTTACAACGGTTCAGATTAAACTGAAGGGCTGAATCATTGTTGTAATGGTTGTTTCCACAGCTTGTCTCGGAAGAGTTATGATATTGGATACTGGGCTCAGGGACTCCTTGTTGGCAGGGGGGATTAACGACAGAGGTGGTGGGTGTCACGAAAAAATGAGTCTGCGAATGAAGGGCAGGGGGTCACCATTAGCATAACTATGGGTCTGTGTGGTGCGGTGAGGTGCGGTGTGGACAAATGACACAGTTTTAAAATTTGAATAAAACAAATACGGACTATCAATTTATTTATGTGCGCGTGAGTGTGTTTGAGTGAATGTGTGTGAATGAGTGTGTGAAAGTGAGTATGTGTGAGTGAGTGTGTGTGAGAGAGAGAGAACGAGAGAGAGAGAGAGGGAGAGAGTGTGTGTGTGTGTGTGTGTGTGCGCGCGCGCAAATGTGTGCGTGTATTTTGATATGAGTTGTTAATTAACCCTTCGGAACCTTTCATGTTATGTACACTCGGTTTTTACACAGTTCATGTTTAGTCAGATTCCGCAACTTTATTCGAGCATCACCGCAACTATTGTTCCGTGAATACACGAACTGGACGATTCCGACTGGTTGAATAAGTCAGCTGTTCATTCTTCAAAAATAGATGACATATTTCAATATATTGTCGTCATCTGTTAGGAATTTACGATACATACCCTGGACTCGAAATGATGGAGATCGTCACAGAAAATAGAGATATCGATAACCTTCCGCTGTACCATATTTCTTATACGAAATTATCTCCATTATCTTAATAAATAAGAACTTAACCTTTTTCTGTTTGAATTTGTCCTCAAGTCAAAATATATCCGAATTTTCTGTCAATCACAGAGTGGGTTGTCTCTAAAAATGGCTTTCATGTAACGCGAACTATACTCTCCCAAAAAAGAAACGCATCATGAAAATGGCCATTTCATGTAGCAATGAATTAAAACGTGATTCATTTTACAAAAGGTTTTGCCCTGTTTATGAGTCCTATGGTGTTTATGTTTTGAAACATCACAACAAAACGCACCATCCGTAAAATACCCGTATTTAACAGCATGATTTTCAATTTCGGCGTGTAGTGTCACAGAATACACAATTCACATGCAATGCAAAATACCTCGTCTAAGTGAAGCCAACCGTCATATCGCCATTGGTTTGCTTGAAGCTGGCCAATCTCAACGTGCAGTTGCCCGACGCATGAATGTTCACCAAAGCACCATTTCACGGCTCTGGGAGAGATATCGCCGGCAGAATGCGGTAGCAGATGCCCCTGGTAGTGGGCGACCTCGAGCGACCTCTGCGGCGCAGGATCGCTACATCCAGGTACATCACCTGCGTCATCGAACAGTTACGGCGACCAGCACCGCTCGACAAATACCCGGATTGAGGAGGCTTTCTGCACAGACCGTCAGGAACAGGTTGAGAGAGGCTGGTTTACGTGCCAGAAGACATTATTTTGGCCCTGTGCTTCGACAACAACATCGTCGACATCGAGTTCAATGGTGCACCAACGTTCAGCCCTGGAACCTACCGAATTGGCGTAGAATCTGGTTCAGTGATGAATCACGACTTCTATTGGAACGACGCGATGGAAGAATGCGCGTGTACAGACGTCGACGTGAACGTTTCGCCGACGCTTGCGTTCCCCAGGTGGACAGATTCGGCCGGGGAAGTTTTATGATGGTGTGTGTGTGTGTGTGTGTGTGTGTGTGTGTGTGTGTGTGTGTGTGTGTGTGTGTGTGTGTGTGTGTGTGTGTGTGTGTGTGTGTGTGTGTGTGTGTGTGTGTGTGTGTGTGTGTGTGTGTGTGTGTGTGTGTGTTTCACCTGCTGTAGGAGAAGTGATTTGGTTATGATCCAGGGCAACCTGACAGCTCAACGGTACTGTGACGAAATCCTACGCCCACACCTCCTTCCAATCATTGATCGCCAGAGGGAGTTGTTTCAACAGGACAATGCCAGGCCCGACACAGCACGCCACACTAAAGACTTCCTCCAGAACAACAACATCAATGTGCTCCCCTGGCCCTCAAGATCACCGGACTTAAACCCGATCGAACATCTGTGGGATGCCCTGGACAGACGGGTGCGACGCCGTAACCCTCAGCCCCAGACACTTCAGCAACGCGCACAGGCACTACAGGCAGAGTGGGCTGCGATTGGGCAACACGAGATTCTGAGACTTATTCGTTCGATGCCGAGGCGATGCCGTGCAGTTCTGAATGCCCACGGTGGTCACACGAGGTATTGACTTCAGCGCCACCACACGTCTCCATGTGACACTCAAACTGACTTTCCTCGAGTTGGTGCTAAAGACGGATAAGTCTGCATTCCCAGTGTGCAATTTCACTATATTTCATTGACTCATAAAGCCTACAAGATGTTTCAAAATAAACATAAAAATACAGTTGAAATTCCTATATGCGTTTCTTTTTTGGGAGAGTATATGTGTTGCGAGAACTTGCGTTATCTATACCCCGTTGCTTCACGGGGTATTACGTGGATGGTGGAATAACCCGAGTTCCCACGAGTTACCACTTCACATTCTACTGTGACGTAAAGAAGCATAGATCACTCGGAAAAAGTCAGGCAAACATTGTGTCCTCGAATCAGTCGATACAAGGGATGCACTAAGTCGAAGGATATTCGGTTCAGTGAACATG